GCTTTTAATGAAGAAATTCATAATTAGTCAATGCTAAGAACAAGGGGCTATAGGGTACTCAATATTAAATGGAACAGCTGCATTACCTTTCTAACAAGGCTTGGGGAACATTACAGAAGTGGTTGTGGAAAGAGATGGGGAGGAGTACCTTGAAATAATACCTTCTGGAGTTGACCTAGCTGTTTCACTTATGACCTTACTAAAAGATATGGGTATGTTCAGAAGAACTGTACAAGATGGGTCTGTCAGCATTATACTAAAGATAAGAGAGGGGACTCATGAGGTTCCATCTCTATTAAGAAGCTTTTGGCAGTTAATGGCTCCTGGGGTATAGGAAGACATTTTTCCTTCAGTAATATAGACACTATTAAGTTGACCATGACATTGGAAATAATTACACAACTTTGTCTGTGCAAATAATCCTAATTAAGATAAGTGGGTTATAAAAACAGACAAAAGGCCAGGCGGTGGTGGCACACGCCTTTAATCCCAGCACTCGAGAGGCAGAGGCAGGCGGATCTCTGTGAGTTCGAGGCCAGCCTGGGCTACCAAGTGAGTTCCAGGAAAAGGCGCAAAGCTACACAGGGAAACCCTGTCTCGAAAAACCAAAACCAAAAAAAAAAACCAAAACAAAACAAAACAAAACAAAACAAAAGCAGACAAACAGTCAAAAGAGAGCAATAAGTTAGGGACAAGGGTACCAGAGGTGTAGAAGGAAATAAAAGAAGGAATTATGTGTGAATATGATAAAAAAAAACTTATGTGTGTGTGTGTGAAAATGTCAAAGAATAAATAATTTTTAAAAGATAAATCATTTCAAAAAAAGCTAAGGTGTTCAAGAAGAAGGAAATATAAATGATTAAGTCCAACACAAAAGGCTTACTGTGGTAATATTATTCACATGATTCCATAATGGCAGATGTACAAATATTTTATAAGAGTATAGAATAATTAAAGTGAATCATAATGTGAATGCTGCTTAATAAAAATACATCAATATTAAGTCATTAATAGTAACACATATAGCTCACTAATGCAAGATGTTAACGTCAAGAGATACAAAAGCAGATTAGATGTGGCAATTTTTAGCGAAAGAACATTTTGTTCAATTTTCTTAAAATATGAAACTTCTCTAAAATAGCCTATGCATAAAATAAATCTCTTCTGAATTATCTATTTAGAGTGGAATTTGTTTTACTGGATCATACATAAACACATTCAGTAGGATAATTTTTTAATTTGTTTTTGTGAAACTTTCATTTCTACAAAATAAAAAGACATATGTCACTAGTGGTTCAATTTCATCAAGTTTCTCTCTCATCATTAATAAACAAAATATAACACAGCAAACAAACACATGGATTATTATGAAACTTTTGTATAATTCTGCTGCATTTCCTAGTGTTTGTATACATAGTTATATTCTCAAATTATATTAATATATATCTCCATATTAAAACAATTATAATCTCTAGTATAGAGCATTAATAATAAATTCAATTTTTCAAATATTTAAGCTCCACTCAGTAACTTCATTAATATTACTTTTTTTTTGTGATATATATTTTTTATTTTACAATACCATTCAGTTCTACATATCAG